AAAAMAGAGATTTATTTTTGAATRTTTAGTAAGGAAAGCTAAACAAAGGTCTGCATGTCTTGTTCACTTCTATGAAATTATCGTAGGGCTTGACATGTAACTGCGTTTCCTTGGCGACCTGTGAAGATGAAAAAATAATAATTTTTATGAGTGTTTGTTCTGCTCCTATTTGCTTCTCTGTGATCTCACCTGTTCCATCTTCTTCATGGCTCGTATTAAGTTTAAGCCCGCAACTTTCTTGATGTCTTCATCACTGTAACCACGTCTGAGAAGCTCTTCCAACAGTGCAGGGTACTTGGATACATCTTCTAGTCCAGTCGGTGTTCTGTACATGAAATAACCAACTCAGCAATTGCGCTGAMCCATGTGGGAAAGCCTTTTAATTTATCTCCAATATGCGACAAGCAAAGTATTCTGCGTAGTGTCCCTCTTGRGATCTCTGTGGACAAAGAGGGTCTCTACGCAGGCTACAAGCATGTAGACAGGTTAAATACCTGGGCACACCATCGTAGTCACCTCCAARTCCTACGTAGTCCACTCCTGCCACCTTCTTGATATAATCTATGTGATCTTAGCGAGAAGAAAATAAATGAACATGATGAACAACAGAGCGTGACCACAAATGCCATGCACAGCGGTATTACCTGCAGCGTTATTCAACGTCGCATTTTTCGTACAMGTCAAATAGTCGTTGGCGAAGTTCACCATGACAACGCCACCATTTTTAGGCTAAGAAACAATTAGAAAATAGTTAGCATTGATAAACGATTAAACAACAGACTCGGATCTAGATGAGATGCATAAAACATGCCCAAACTCTACATTGCGTCACTGCCTGGTTTCGATTTCATTCTCCCGGTACTGGCACCGCAAATGYTCATAATTAAAGCCCTATTTTCCTTCCTTTTTTCTTCCTTCCCTATTTTCCTTTTGTTAAATCGATCCTTCATATTGAATATGCATGYAGCAGACCTACCATTCTCTTCAGGACGTCATCTGGTACATTTCTAGAATGGTTGCATAAGGCGAACGCCGAGGAATGACTGAAAATCACTGGCAAAAAAGAATTAAAGACAAATCCTGATTCAAACGACAATTCTTACTAATCTGAGTAACTTTGCCAGCCGGATTTCCCTTATAAATAAGAGAGTAGCCACACTAAGTTGAAATTGATGCATAAAAGGTCATAAAAGAAACACGGCGTTCTTTTGACATTCTGATGGGTGTGGCAACGATTAAATGTTTTCCCGGACAATTGTCGGGAATTTTTATTTGAAAAAGGAAGATGTGAGAAGGCATGTCTTTTTGCACAAATCACCGAATCTGTGAAAAGCTTATATGAAAATTGATTAAATGATGAGCTTACCTGGTGCAGTAGACACGTCAAGAACATCGTGCATTGTTTTTGCCGAGACGTGAGAAATATCCACAAACATTCCCATTCGATTCATCTCTTTCACAACAATCTGTAACAACAGACAAAAAGACCGTTGATTTGTCCAGAACATGGCTATAAGCTGCGTCGAAAACTAAATTTCTAGGTTCATTGTTATGATATTATGTAAGCCATTTGTGTCCTTTATCATCACTTGAGATTGCATTACTTTAAAAACATGTTCCAGTTATCTTATCAGTTACTACTAACCTTTCCAAAGTCAGTCAAACCATTATGCTCTGCTTTCTTTGGAGAACACGAATCAGCCCTAAACAAAGCATGTCAGTTGAGTCATTTGTGACATCCATACTTGCATGACGCGTGACTTACCATGGTGTGTGACATCCGTGCGTAAGAGTCATGTAACGAGCACCCAAGTCATAGAGCATGCGTAAAGTATCTAGACTGCTGTCAATAGCATGACCCCCCTCGACTCCAATTAATGACGCAATCTTCTTATTCTTGTGAGCATCCARAATACCTTGCGCGGTGGTAACAAACACGAAGGTGTCGGGATAYTTKTCGGTAAAWCGRTGGATGACGTCCATTTGTTCAAGGAACAGTCGCACAGCGTTTTTGTATTGATTTACGCAGGAGATGAAGGCTGCCCAAAACTATTTTTAACAAATAAAAACGATTTTTATATTTGTATWAATAGTCAGATTTGATCTATGACGTACTTGAGATAGTATGCGCATTCTGATTGGCTTATGCCATTCTGCATAGGTCTGCATAGCACAAGTCAATACTGAAGAAATGAGGAGAACCACAAGCTTATAGTTCGTACTTTTTCCTTACTATTTCTTGGTTTCCTTACTAACTTTCAAGCGCAATCTATTTCTAAAGAGAGCAAAACAAGGCCTCTTCTATTGCCAAGGTTATCATAAAACTAACCTTAATTTTACTTAATTTAGTTGCCTAAAGTTTCTCAGTAATCACACATACAGAAAGGTACCTAGTGGACGTTGACGATTGTTGCAGGTGTTGGATCTGTTTTATAGATATACTAACTCAAATATAGTCCAGTGAACAGTGATGTTTACATACCTGACCCGCTACCATGCCTTTCCGCAGTCTTGGGATGTCAGTGTGTAGAAATGGGGTTCCTTTGTCGAGAGTGATGTTGGCCAGTCGGTTTGAATAGTATGATCGTAGCTGCCAGGGAAGATCATTGTGCCTACAGAACATTTAAGAACAGTCGTAACATAGCCAAACATTGTTGGCTGGAGAAGAAAAGAAAACAATTCTTAACAAATGTGACAACACCTTGAACGGCGCTAACATTGTTGCCATGTCACGGTTGCTACGTTTCTGCGCTTGCTACGACGCGTTTTGTTCTCTTTCTTGAATGAATTTGTTCAAGATAGTGATAAATTGACTGATACAAACCCATCGATCAGTGGCACGTCTTCTAAAGCAGCCATGACTCGTTCTTGAATTGTCAGTTTTGGTTTCGGCTTGTCATCCTTGTCCTTCCTACTCAACACAACAGCTAGGACTATAGCTACAGCCAGTATGATGGCACTCACAACACCAATGATTAGAAACTTAAGATTCATGGCTGCATATGCAATACTTTTTCAGTTTGACTAGTGTATGATACTGTGAAAGACAAGAAGACAGCACGGCACTGTACGGTCAAGGACTACAATAGCTAGCACACTAGTAGTGACCCCAAAGATGTATCGTCCGTCACGCCACGTGACGGTCTTGACACCAAGGTGCCATGTTTTTGTGCAGCCGGTTATACGAAGTCATTTCAACSTTGTACACATAAAATAAACGGCTTTTTTGCGTTTTAAGAGCAAGAGGTCTTGCGCAAAAGCTGAGATTTATCTCATGTCTTTCTAGTTTTTCTGTGACGAAAGGCCTTATGGGGGCTCTCGTCACTATGTCATCGTTTTGAGTGACCGAACGATAACCATTCACTTCTAGCAGGCGTTCCTTGCGAGTCCTATCTTTAAGTTGAAAACAGAGAAAATCTCTAGAGAAAAAAAACAATTCAGCAAAAAAGTAACAACAGCAAAGAAAAGAAGAAAAAAAGAAAGGAAAGAAGAAAAGAAAACAAGAATCARACGAAAAAGAAATAATAAACAAGCGAAAAAAAGCAGGAAAAAAAAGCAAATTCCAGAAGCAGGGCTCGAACTCAGAACTTTCACTTCAGGATAAGATGTACCCCCCCTGAATACATAAGAAATAATGAAAATGAAAAACTAAAAATATGGGACGATTCCCCCGAGACATTCTATGAAGCTGAGGCGGCGAATCGGCTTACGTTACGGTTAGAGATTTCGGCCCTTCCACGCTATCCCGAGTGAACATAAAACTTAGTCTTAACCAAAAGGCCAGGGAGTGAGGGGGTAGCCGCCCACTAGAGCATACCTTTAGCTACCCTCTTAGACCATAGTACTATGAAGACACTTACAGATTTCTAATATCTAATTGGGGTAGTCTATTCGGTGAAGTTCCATGCTATTATATGACGTCACCAAAATCCTTAGGGATCAGCGAGCCAATCAGAGCTTAGTTCGGGAATTAGCAAACGATACAGGGTTTGCATAATCATTCTTCAGTAGATTTATTATTTGAGGGGGGTGGGGATGGGTGCTGAGTGCTGGTTTGCGGCCGAATACCGATGTACTCGATGTAATTGACGGCTGTCACCAAGCCGTTCAATTTTCGTTATTGTCTTTCCAAATCATCACAGGAAAATTAGTTGCACAGTTCTTATATCAGAAAGACATTATTCAGTATTCGGATAAAAACCAGGGCACAAATCTCTTGAAATTCTTAACGTAAGTGGTTTACAAACCAGGCAGATTTTGCTGGAATTCAACGGAACACAATTAAAGACCTCTGCAACGTTCCATGTACATTTTTGCTCTTAATGATATAAACGTTTACACATTATTGAATATAAATATAAAATGTTAACAATTGAAAAGGATGAATGATAATTCGTAGATTAAATTAATAAAAGAAATCAAGGATAACTTTGCAAGCTTTCGCTTCTATTGCAAAACTATAATCAGGCAAATGATTTAATGTAGTAACTTTAAAACATGAATGCAAAAATACGTGTCTTTGACTTCAGCTAAA